TCCAATATGATTATTATTGCATCTTCTGCCAGAAAGATGTACAATTTTCATGCATACTTCATGTTTTTATTGAAATAATTACATTACATTTCAGTCACAGTCCCCCCAAATCAAAATATATTGTAAGAAAATACTAATATAGACTATTTAATTTTCTTCTTTTCTGGTTTTGAATGTTTGGGGGTTTTTGGCAGTTGAAGAAACAGTGAAACCAAAATGTATTTATTAAGATTTCATCAAAATCACCATTTTTGTTTAGAAAAAATACAAAAAGAAATATCAAGTGAGGAGAAGAAAGATAACTGTTCTTTCCTTTCTCTACTTAAAGGAGAGTTTATGGAGAGTCATTTAGAAAACCAGCAGTAACAGTGGTACAATGTAAACATCACTTTTAATCTGTATTTATTATATATTTTCTTTTACATATGTTAGTACACTCCTTGCTCTCCTCCAATTTTTTTTCCTCTTTGCTAGTCTTAAAACCTCTGTCCAGCTCCCCCATCAGTTGTTTTTTTAATTCGCATTCCTGTTTTTTTTATAAGCCTGTCTTATCCCATGCCTATACTCCTATAAACAACATTATTATGTCAAAGTCATAAATATTTCATTCTATATAGAATAATGACTTCTTACTGTATATGTAAAAGCCTTGATTATACCACAAGATTATGCAAATGTAAACCAATATAAGTTATACAAGCAAAACTGTAAGAAATTAGGCAATAGTCACCTGCTCATTAGAAAAACTGTTGCAGCTAAACTAGCTAAATCAAATCTCCAGGCAGGCAAAGAAAGTTCAGAAAAGCCTGAGAAATGAGTCTTGAGGCCTTGCAGAATTGGTGCGAGGTCTACCAATACTGGTTTACAGGGATACAACTGGACTAATATTTTTGCATTGGCTCTTGTCTTTTTGTCTTGTTATCACTTCTAATTAGCAAACTGACTAGTTGGCATTTTTGCTTCTGCATTGCTGTTTCTCAGGTTATATGCATTGGTGCTGTACTTTCTTGCTTTAACATTGTTACAGAATTTGAAATCTGGGCTATTTAAGCTAAAGCAAAATCACCAAAGGTTCAAGGGAAAAAGAAGCAAAGAGAAATGTATGGGTCACTCTCCTAACGTGAAGTGAACTCACAACTGGGAGCAGCAGTACCTGAATTCAGCAGGTTGGGTAGACTCTATTTATCCTGAGAAAGCTGAGGATACCCTCGTTAGCATGACACCCTTATCGGGACCTAGATTTACATAGACATTTTGGTGTGCGCCACTGCAAGCTGCATTTATAGAAGATTCTTGAACAGTCTGAATGCCATTATGATTTGGGATTAGAAAAGGCATCATGCTAAGCAACAGTGATGGTGTCAAATGGCAAACAAACAAGAAGAGGTATAGAGTACAGTCTGTAAATTAGTGAGTATTCTAAATGATAAGTTTTAGAACTGGGGGGAGTGATAATAATATAATCCTCTATACTAATAAAGATGTTTTTATCCAAACCTGTTAGGACAGAATGAGCACGATAGTTATAAGTACCAGTGCAGCAAATTCAAACTTAATTTAGGCTTATCTTTCCCTAATGCAGTACCAAAACTAATCAGTCTCCATACGACTAACTTGCTAACAATGAGCAGACTCTGAGGAAATATGCATTTATCACAGTAAGTGTCAAAACAGTATTACTCATTCAAAACTTAGTTTGCAGATAAAATTGCTGTGTTAACAGAATGACTTCTTGGTTATTAAGTATTTAAAGATTTAAAAAAAAAACCAACAAAATTAATGCCTAAACAGCTCAGGTTATGGACAATAATATGGATTCTATTCAACATAGTGTCTGTTGTTGCCATAGCAAGAATAATAAATAGATCATAATGTAGAAATGAAAATCAGCTATTTAGATTGCTGGCATCTCTTACTCATGTCTGTAAATGAAATATGATTCTCAAAGAATTTGTGCCTGTAAAGCTTTTTCTTATAGTTAATGCAGTGTTTAAAGGGAGAAAACTTATTTTCTTATTTAATAAGAGTAAATAATTCTTTATGGAAGCTGATTAATCTGTTTTTTTTTCTTTTTAATAGGTTATTTCAGTATTTCACTGTTGTGATGGAAAGCATAGCTCTCAGTTCACCCTCTGTCTATATCTAACCTTGATGAGGTCAAACCCGTTAACAAGGGCAGGTTATTCTCTGAGAGCAATTCTGTTCTTCCTCAGTGAAATTCATGGCTGCTGTGGTAACTACAGCATAATAGGCAATGGACAAAAGTTATCAAGGTTGTTTGCAGAAGTTAAATATCAAGGTGCTTTTAAAGTGAGCCTTGAAGTTATTACAAAAAAAGCCCTATAGCACCAGTGTCGTATGTTATTTCGTAAAGACTTCCATCAACCAACAATACCCGTTTTTCCTTTTTAGCACTAGTCATGTTGTCCTGTAAATCAGGTTTATAGGAAGAATATTTCTTTATTAGTTTCAAGTCAGATCATGGTCAATAGAAGTAATCCTCTGGGCAAAATTATCCCCACCTTCAGCTTCAAACAAGTTTTGATTCATTTATTATATTCTCAGTATGCGTGAGAACCCCCTGCTGACATCAGTAACAAGCAGTGAATGGAGAAAAACACATAGCTTTGAAAATGAGATGTTATTTGTGTTTGAGAAGAGTATTTTAACGTTTTTCTTTGTACTAAAGCTGTCACATTTTATATACAGTGGTGGGGTTTGCTGTGGTTTTATATTTTGTCACCAGCCTGTAATGTGTGTGCCATTATGCTGTATACTCAGGGAACACATCCCTATGGTAATATTACATTTGCAGACTGCTTTATGGTATAGTTAAGATAAAGGATATTGTGAATTCCATAAATATCAAATAAACTACATAGAAGTGTGTCAAGACTTAAAAAAACAGCTAAATACTATCAAAAAGAAAAAGGAGTTATCATTTAGGAGTCTGTCCTTTGCTTAAGTGCAGGAAAAAAGCTGCAATGGATCTGGGAAACAAGTGATCACTGCAAGGGCTCAAGCAAGTGAAATATAATGTCTGACTGCAATTAGAGTGATCTACTTCAGATTCTTTTAGATATCATGGGTTATTAAGTAACCAAATTATATTCACACAATTCAGCACCTGCTTCATCAAGCTACAGAATATGGAATTAGATATAGACCACTTCAGCTTCACTGATTTGATAATGTAGTGGAGAGAGACTGGTGAATATACATTAATCCTATGAAATTAAATCAAGAAAATTAGCTGAAGATATTCCTGGGGGCCTATTTGGTGTCTAGTTCCATAAAATGCCGAATTACCTGCTTACTGAAATAACTTTTTTTTTCTTTTTTTTCTTTTTTTTTTTTTTGTGATGACAAATGGAATGGAACTAAGAACTGAGTTTACATAAAAATTGAACCAACAATGTACAGGTTCAAATCAGAAATCCGTTTAACTCTGGCTCTGACAACAACCAGTACCAAATCATTAGAGCATAAGAACAGAACAAGTATATAATTTTTCTCTCAGTGTTTCCTAATTTGGAGTATAGAGACTACACTGTTACTTTTATTTTCATTTGTGTGTGATGGACTTTCTACTATTATTATTTGAACCAGTTCTGTTATTATTTTCTGGTCTCTTCAGTATCCTGTATAATGTATGCAATTATAATGGAATCATGCATACTCTGAAGAAGGATGTTGGTTTTTAAAATTCTTTAAGATAATGTCATCTGATGTTTCCTCATTCTTATGAGAAATGATGACATAATAAGCAAATAAAGCCTATGCATTCTTTATCTGTGCTGTTCTAATTTTATAGACTTCTGACCATGTTGACTCTTTAGGAGTCTGAATTATTTAATCTTTTTGCATATAGAGACATTCCAGTATTTCTAACCGTGTTTTTGTCCTGTTTGTAACTTTTCTATTGGCACTTCATAGTTGGTGGGAAGCTTACTCACTTCTGTCTCCAGAAGAAGTCTGAACAAGTAATGTAAGATGCAGAAGTCTATCCTGCACGCTTTTCAAATTAAGGGAGATTAACTCCATACCAAACTGATTAATTTAAATATTAAGTATAGATATTGAAAACCTGTCTTATGACCTCAATCTGAAAATATGACTATACTATTTTAGCTATTCTTAGTCCAGCCATTTCATACTGTATTTGAAAAGATTCTTGTATTTTTCTTAAGGTTTTCTAAACAATTTGGTTTTCTAATCTGTTACCTATAAGTGATTCCTTTGTAAGCAATGTCAATATTGACTTTGATTTTGATTTCTTGAAGTAAAACATTGATGGATTAAAATTATTGAAGTAAATTAATAATAAATAACATGGCAAAATATGTTTAAAAAACATGAGTGAAGTGTAGAAGTCCTAGAACTTCACAATATTTGATCTGTAGATGTGTTTCAAATAGTTCTATCAGAAATACTTTTTCATCCTCAGGGAAATATGTATGATTCATAGTAATTTCCGTTTTGGTTGGAGACAAAATAGAACTTCAAAGGACAGTGATAAATGGAAAGCACAGCATGTTTAGAAAAACCGCTGTCTTGGTGTGGTTAGTGTACATAGCTCAAATCCAAGACACAGGTTCTGTTTAACTTATTCAGAATAGACACTTGAACCCTGTTCTGCTGTACCCAGAATAATTAACAACCAAAAGCCTTAGGTGGATTATAGAATGCCTCATCTGTTTTGACTAGCTGTTTCTCTTGAACCTGAGAAAACATTCCCAGTTAATGTTTGTTATAACCAGTGCATTTCAGCAAGCTATTCTGAGTTTCACAAAATGTTTTATGTAAAAATTATCTCTGAAGCAGTTTTCCTTTTCCTCTTGTTACATGCATGAGATGCTCTTCGTGCATGCAGAGTTCTCTACTTTGTATTCTGTCATTGTTCTGTCAAATCATAATGTGCTTTGTATTTTCCACATTTTATTTTATTTTATTCTTTTTTCAGTATTTAAAGATTTCTATGGCTTACATTTTGGTTACAGGTTTCTCTTGGACTTTTACATGCTCGAGCTACTCATATCCTCTGGCCTCCACAACGTTGGCAGAAGTTACAGGCAGTGCTTCCTCCAGAGCGCAAACCACTCAAGAGAGAGCAAGAGTGATCTGAATGTTCACACAGAAAAACACTGAAGTTTAACCAGGAAGAGCTGCAGTGGTTATACCGTGTCCCATAAGAGATTTTGCCAAGTGTGCTTTCACATTAGGTACAATGTCAACAAATACATGTGACATCTTCATGTTAAAATGACACTGTAAGTGTAATTTTTGGGGGGATTTTGGTGGGGTTTTTTTGTTTGCTTTGTTTTTTTGGTGCATTTTGTGTTATTTTACTTTGAAATAATTGGTTGTAGAATGTGCAAGTTTTCTGGGAGCAGTAAAATGCTTTGACAGATTATGTCATGTTTGCCTGGATAAGAAATTATTAAAAAATTATTAAAACCTTCAAGAAAATATCTTTTACATTCATCTTGTTTCTTTAGTAACTGAATGGATCCTTTAGTGTTATCATTGATTGCCTACGAAAAAAAAATACGTGATAATCTTTTGGATTGTCCTATAATTTCTAATGCTGAAGAATCAGTACCTCTGTATCTGAAGAGTTCATCATATGCATTGTTTGGTTTTGTTGTTGGTTTTTTTTGGATTCACTGGTATGTGTTCTGCAAAACTACTGCCAGAGTCATCAACAAAAATGAAGGCATTTGTTCCTCACTTATTACCTCAATATTTTTCTGTTCATGTTATCCAGACATGCATTCTGCCTGGACATGTGCACACATACACAATGTGACATACATATACACATCAACATAGGTATAACCGTATACATCTGACACACAACATAGGCATATCAACTCTGTACTCATATAAACAGTAATGGCACCAGCGACCTCATCCTCTTGCTGACTGATAAGAATGAAAACACATAAGTGGGAAATATATAGAAATATATACAGTGTGGATGCCTCCAGCATCAGACACCTGTTTTGCCCAGTATACAGAATCCTACTGCATACTGGCACCTGAGTCCTTGTTCCCAGGCAAAGGTGTACACGCACAAATGGGTCTCCCAACCAAACAGCAGTCTAAGCAGCTGCCTGCAACCCCACAATGCCTCATGTTCACCTCAAGGGATACCTTCACCCCACCTTCTAGGCCATGTGCCCCACTCACCTGTTGGTCCGGCTTGGTGCTGGCCAGTGTCGTTCACTGGCAGTGCACCCGCATCACACCCCATACTGGCACCACAGGCATATGGGCCTCCCACCCCTGGTCTGCCCCAGCTACTGGCACTCAGACCTTCCCCATGCATGCACACAGTTCAGGGACCTCTGCACCCAGAAAAAGTACTAAAAATGGAGTTTAATTAGAACATGAGAGTCTGCACTGATCAGGTTCAGGCATCAACAAACTAGCACCTGTTTATGTGTGATCAGCTCCTTTCATACCCTTCTCTCTCTCTTTTTCTACCCTTGATCCTCCCCAAACCACCCTCATTCCCCTCACTTTGGACCCCCCTAAATATCCCACAAGTGTTGCACAGTATTGGAATGCTGCTCCCTGCACCTCACAGCAAACCCTATACCCATAGGCAGTGTCACCAGTCTGTGGGGCTACACAGACAGCCTCACCACTGACTTCTCGTGTTCACTGTCCCCCATGAAGGTGGTACAGGGGCAGCTGTGCTCCTTCTTGGCTGTGAGAATGCGACTTTCACAGTCTGCTGACTCCTGTAATAGCCACAGAGGAGATAAGTCATGGTATTATTTGGCTTTCCCCAGCTGCCATCGCTCCTCTGGGCTGTGTGGAGACCAGCTCTTTATCATGTAAACATATATAGGCTATGAAAGTTTAAATTTCTCAGGTACTCAACTGTGACATGCCTCAAGGAATATCCATTAACCTTTATTTACATACATATATTTATAAATATTTATGAATTTATATGAATGTATAGGATACATATGATGGAATTTAGTGTATGCCTATTAAGTCTGAGGATGTTACAAAGGGTGTAAAGACTGACATAATTTTGGAGAATGGTATTAGACTGTGGTGATCTGAATTCAAGAATTATGAGTAGAGAGTCTGGTGGAATAATTACCTATACACATGCTGGATTAAGTTGAAAGAAAATTTGGAGATTATAGAAGAATGCAGATGAGCATGAGTCAACAACATCCTGTTCTGAATAAGGAAAATAGCACACTCTGTAAGCAGCAGTATAGACTGTAAACACAGGAAACAATATTCCTGCTTAATTCATCTGCAATATGATTTTAGGCACCAGATTCAGAGAAAAAAATGAGGAGCAACTGGAGTCTTTAGAGGGGAAAAAAAAAAGTGAAGAGAAACCAGAAAAAAACATGACCTATGAGAAATGCTGGAAGAACTTGGATTTATCATTGAGTCTGGAGAGTCTGAAGCATAGTCTTCAAAGTCATGAAAGGTTTCTGTAAAGTGTAAGAGTATCATTGATTCTCCAAGTCCATCATGTACAGGAGGAGAACTAAGACTTACTGTGCAACAATAATACTTTTAGGTAATACATGGAGAAAGAAACATTTGAATTTTAAAAGTAATAAAACATTGGAATAGATTACTTTTCCTTGCAAGGTTTTATCTTTTTATTACAAGGCCTGTTTCTACTTTGAGGCAGGAGACCTTGATATCCATGTCAGCTATTATACATTCTCTGATTGACTACTTTGTGATGGGTAAGCTTCATGGTGCCTTTGATGCTAGGCAGGTGGGCAGTTGCATGTTTCCTTTAGATTCCTAAGATGCAAACCTAACAGTATCAAAGTAGCCTTATGTACCACTTTCTGCTAATAAGCATTTAAGGAACCCAATTCCTGAAAACAAGCTATTTTGCTACATACTTTGAGGTCCCTTCCAATCTCCAGCATACTGTGATACTGTGATACTGGCATAGAATCATAGGATAGTTAGGATTGGAAAGGACCTTAAGATCATCTAGGTCCAACACCCCTGCCGTGGGACAAGGACACCTCACAATAAATCATCTCACCTAAGGCTTCGTCCAGCCTGGTCTTGAACACTGCCAGAGATGGAGCATTCACAGGTTCCCTGGGCAACCTATTCCAGTGCTTCACCACCCTAACAGGAAAGAATTTCTTCCTTATATCCAATCTAAACTTTCCCCGTTTAAGTTTTAACCCATTTCCCTTGTCCTGTCACTACAGTCTCCAATGAAGAGTCCCTCCCCAGCATCCCTGTAGGACCCCCTCAGATACTGGAAGGCTGCTCTGAGGTCTCCACGCAGCCTTCTCTTCTCCAGGCTGAACAGCCCCAACTTTCTCACCCTATCTTCATATGGGAGGTGCTCCAGGCATCATATTATTCTTTTAAGATAATGATGTAACATGGAGACTAGGAATCTGTCATGGCATGCACAAAGCTGTTCAGGTCTGAAGCCATTAAAAAATAGATAATTTAGAGCAGAACCCTCCAAGGAAAGAAAGGTAAAGCCAAGACAATAGGTTGTGCTTTAGTAAGCAGTTTGTACTGCCTTTCTCCTTGTTAACCCTAACAAAATAACACACTTACCAGACATCAAAGATGGCATCTAAGACATACAAGCTGAAAGTAACATAGGAGCATCAAGTAATGATAGGTATTAGCTCTTGCTATGCAGAATTTTGATTTCACAAATATTTTTCATTCCTTTAGATTTGTTTACCACTAAAATCAGAAAGAGCTCTGAATACTTCCAGCATATTACAAGTAAAATAGCTGTCAGAGGCATCATTTCTCAGGAGTCTAGCAGCTGATGAACCTGCATGCTCTTGCGCAACTTTGGCATTTTCCTATAACATGGAATAACCCTCTCTTTTTTGAATATTACTGTCATTGCTATTATGACCAAGAAAATTATTGCATTCTTCCTTCTCACTCCAACATGGTCTATTCTTATCATGCTCCATTCAGCATCTTGTCCAAGGTCATATAAGATAATCATGATAGGTTTGGAAAAAAAGCAGGATTTCTTAGATCACAGTCTACATTCTTAGCAGAAAGACTTGTCATTCACTATCATTTCTTGTCTTGTACAATTAATGTACAAATGCACCATTTGTGATACAAAATACGAATCTAAATGAAAGAAAAAGAGCAAAAAACAAAATTCTAAGTAATCTTAGACCTACACTGTTATATGGTGACAGGGAAAGATGAGGTTTTTTAGAACTAAGGCTTTCTGTGCAATAAGGCCATACAAATAACAAATGATGTAGAGAATGCCCTTTTTCCACAAATTCACCCACATGGTGGTTGCTTAGGGAATAGACTGGGAACCCCAGAGATAGCAGAGCTCAAATCTTTATCCCTGCATCTGTACTCCTTTTCAATGATTCCTTTGTGCGAAATGAACGCACAGATTATTAGGTCCGGTGACACAGATGCAAACTTAATTTCATCTAGTGTTTTGCAATGCTTTTTAATTTTTAAAAAAAAAGAAGTAGCCTATTGTGGAAGTTCTAGGGTTATCTATTGTGCCTTTTAATGCTGTGGCTTTGTTTGGTTTTTAATTTGTGAAATAAAAGATAAGCCAGAAGCTGGTTTATGTAATTGCTCTGCAAGAGATTTTTAAGCAGAACATTACACAGAAAATATTGCCAATATTCAAACTATATCACCAACCAAATATCATCTTGATTGGAATTTATTCAGTGTGTTATTGAATGAGCCGCTCACATTTGGATGATGTGGTAACTAAAAACCTGCAGGTGTAGAATATTTAAAAAAAAAAAGGCAGCAGCTTTTTATGAATATAAGGTTATCCTGATTATACAGCTACAAAAATTTAATTTGAAAAAATGGTTAATTTGTGGTAACTTGTTGGAAGTGTATTAACCCACCACATCATGTACTATCTTTCTCATCCTACTCACAAATGTCTCACCATTTTTTTAACATCTAACCTTTTCTCATATCTTTCTATTAATTGTCAGAACTGAATTTTACATTCTCTGGGAGCTAAACCATGCCACCCTAATTTTTAAAAAAGTACATGGCAATTAATAAATGAAACATATAAAAACATTTTTGAAGCACTCCCTATAGTTTTATCCATTTGATTACAAGGGTTAATTGCAGAAATGGTTTTGAGTTTCCTGCAGGACAGTGATGTCTCAGGATCTAAGATCAGGCTACAGTACTTAACATTTTAACCTGCTTTTGAGGAACCTGTAATTAAAGGAATGTGTTTTCTTTTTTGTCCTGCATTCTTCCCTCATTGTGAAAGGATGGTTTTTGAA